TGGGATCTTAGTTCCCTGAGGAGGGATTGAACCTGTGCCCCCTGCAGGAGGCACTGGAAGCTCGGAGTCTTAGACACTGGACCTTGAGGGAAGTCCATGGGAAGCCTCCTCGATCACCTGTTCTTGCCCTCACCACACCCCTGCATACAACTGCACTGAGGTCCCTGCCCCGAATAGCACCAACAACCCATCTCCCTTCTAGACTGTGACCTCCTCATGGCAGGGTCTCAAGGCCGTTCAAAATGTTTGTGGAATGAATGAACGAGGCCTGCCCCCAGCCCACAAAGCCCTCTTCCCATGAGCTCCCCAACAGGACGTGGGGAATTTCCTCCAGGACGTCCTGTTGTGCCCTCACACCCACCCAGCTGGGACAAGATGTTCCAAACACCCCCAGCAGCAGCCTCGCTTCAGGCCAGCCCCGGGACTCCGTCCTCTGTCAGCGCAGTGCTCAGGGGTGCCAGGCCGCCCTTCCCAAACGCAGCTTGGTGACGACAGCCCTGGGCCCAGGGAACTGCCACGGCTCTCCTTTGGTTCTGCAGGGCTAGCTCTACGCTTCATTTGTGCAAGCTGAGAAGTCACGTCCTCCCTGGAGACTGCCACATGACCGGTGAGCTCCCCTCACACCTGTTACCCTCGTCACAACGGCTTTCCCTCCGGCTTATCTGGAGCTAAGGGCCCCTGCTGGTGCTCTTCTGCTCACCAGGAAGCCACCCGACCCTCCTCGTCTGACCTGCCTGACTGCTGGAGCCTCAGTGCTGCTGTGTAAGGATGCTCACAAACTCTCTAAGCCTGTGCATCAGCCTCTCCTGAAGTGGACCACGAGCTCCTTGTGTTTCTTCCCACACCCCTGCCCTGCTCCATTCCTGGCGCCCTCCCTAGACTGCAGACCACTGCCCTTTGGCGAATAGGGAAGGCTGAAGATAGGCTCCCAGGGTAACCCCTAGAAGCCCGAGTCCCATGGGGGCCTCCCCTCCTAACTGCTCGCTGGGGCTTGTCCTGGGGAGGGTCTGGTAGGGCGCCTGAGAGATGCTGCCCGGAAGAGCAGGAAGCTGCGAGCTCTTGGTGATGTTGGGTCATTCAGCACGCTCACGCAGCCGGGCGTGACCCAAGGGTTATTACAGTAGGGGTCTCGGTGATTTGGGGTCACCGAGCGCACTCACGCAACCGGGCGTGCTCCAAGGGTTATTACAGTAGGGTTCTCGGTGACTTAGGGTAATCCAGTGTGCTCACACAGACGGGCGTGCCCCAAGGGTTATTACAGTAGGGGTCTCGGTGATTTGGGGTCACCGAGCGCACTCACGCAGCCGGGCGTGCTCCAAGGGTTATTACAGTAGGGGTCTCGGTGACTTAGGGTAATCCAGTGTGCTCACACAGATGGGCGTGCCCCAAGGGTTATTACAGTAGGGGTCTTGGTGATTTGGGGTCACCGAGCGCACTCACGCAGCCAGGCGTGCTCCAAGGGTTATTACAGTAGGCGTCTTGGTGATTTGGCGTCATCCAGCGCAGTCTTGCAGCCAGGCATGCTCCAAGGGTTATTGCAGTAGGGGTCTCGGTGATTTGGGGTCACCCAGCATGCTCATGCAGCCGGGCGTGCTCCAAGGGTTATTGCAGTAGGGGTCTCGGTGATTTGGGGTCACCCAGCATGCTCACTCAGCCAGCTGGGCGTGTTCCACAGGTTATTGCAGTAGGGGTCTCAGTGATTTGGGGTCACCCAGCACGCTCATGCAGCTGGGCATGCTCCAAGGGTTATCGCAGTAGGGGTCTCAGTGATTTGGGGTCATCCATCACACTCACACAGCCGGGCATGCTCCAAGGGCTATTGCAGTAGGGGTATCGGTGATTTGGGGTCACCCAGGGTGGTCACACAGCCGGGCGTGCTCCAAGGGTTATTGCAGTAGGGGTCTCGGTGATGTTGGGTCATCCAGCACACTCACGCAGCTGGGCGTGCTCCAAGGGTTATTACTGTAGGGGTCTCGGTGATTTGGGGTCACCCAGGGTGGTCACACAGCTGGGCGTGCTCCAAGGGTTATTACAGTAGGGGTCTCGGTGATGTTGGGTCATCCAGCACACTCACGCAGCCGGACGTGCTCCAAGGGTTATTGCAGTAGTCAGACGACCACGTTATAGTGGATTCCGATGTATGTGGACACCAGCATCACGCCGTAGCCCACACCTAGGGGAGGGGAAGGGCAGGAGCAGCCTCACACCGAGCTGAAGGATGCGAAGCTACTTTTGAAGGGGCTAAGGGGCAGGCTTTTGTGGAGGGCCACAGACGGGGACAGACCAAAACCTTGGCAGGAGCAAGCTGGAGGCTGAGTCGGGGAGAGGGCTAAGGGCTTTTGTGTATGCCTCTGGTAGGAGGAGAGGGTGGAGGCCAAGTAAACAATGGATCCCAGCATGGGCCCCTGGCCTTGGCCATTGATGTGGGCCTCGGGTCAACACCTGGATTCCATAGGGGTTGGTGGTCTTTATACGGATGAGTCAGCACGGCCCCCAGAGGCCCTTGTGTGTGTGCATGTATCACATCCGGGCCTCACCTTTGAACATGGGACTGATCCTCCAGAACCCCAGGCAGCCCTGACTTGCAAACTGGCCTAAGGGGAGTTCCATGAAGAAGAGGGGCATCCCGCAGAAGATGAGCATAATGAAATTGGTGATCATGAAGTCTCCTGGTGGGCAGGGAGAAGGCTGGCTCAGGGCCGGCTTTGGGGTATCCCACCCTCTTCCTGCTCAGAACCTGACAGCAGAACCTTTGCAATTGACTGGGCTTCCAGGAGGGTGTGCCATGCCCTGGACTAGAGCCTCAGTCTGAGGCACACTGCTCACTGCCTATTTTTGAACTTGACAGGGGTTCCCAGGAAATCTGCTCTGAGCTGAACCCAGGTCCCAGAGCCACCATGTTTGGGTGGGAATTGATGACTTAACCAAGCAATTTCACACACATTAGCCGATGGGGCCCTCAGATATCCCCGAACCATTTGGGGGTTGGCTGGTGAAATGCAGGGGGTATAAAACTGAGACTTGGGAAGTTTCCTCTCTACCTTTTCTCCCCCCCGAGGGCTCAGCCTGCCAGGCTGATCACCCCTAAGCCAGGGGTGGGGGCAAAGGAGATTAGGGCCAGAGGCCAGCCTGTCTGGAGTGGGGTCTGTGCCAGAAGGGGCTGGCTGGGCCCTGGTGGCTGGGCTCTATCCACGTGGGTGGTCCCTGCCCTGTGCCCACTGGGCACCTCCCCCATTGCACTAGCAGAGGTATGGGAAGCAGCAGACACTGCCCAGGCCCACGGCATAGCCCACGCTTCTCATCAAGTCGATCCGGCTGCCCCAGGTGCCCCGCTGGTGGCTGTGGTCCTCCTCGGCGGCCTCGCTGGGCACAGCACCATTCTATGCAGACAGGAGAAAAGTCTCCATCAGCAAGGCACTGGCATGAGGGGCCTGACTCTTCAGGCCGCCCCCAGTGGGGACACCGTGGGCCCTCCAGGCCCCCACCCCCACCCTGGGCTTCCCTTCTGCTGGTGGGAGCTGCAGGCAGGCCTGGCAGAGGAGTACAGAGGGCAGAGTGACTGCCAGAGGGTGCCAAGCAGGGCCTCCCTCACCAGCCCCCCAGCACCCCGTGCCGGGGGCACCGGCCCACCCGAGGAGCTGCTGCCAGCATCTGAGAGGTGGGACACTGAGAGGGAGCTCGAGCTGAGAGCCCCCAGCCCCAGCCCCTCCAAAGCCTCCCCTCTCCCCTCTGGGTGAGGATCTGGGAGCAGCTGAGCCTCATACCAAGCAGCCAAGCTGGGCTGGGCACAAAGGGGCCTGTGTCCAGACAGCCCACCAACCCACCACCACCATATCGCCAGGCTGAGCACGCTGCCCATGGCAGGTGGCTGTCGGGGAGGGGGTGCTGGACCCCTGAGCCAGTGAAGGCTTTTTCTAGGGGGCATCTGGTGGTCAGGGCTGTAGGGTACAAGAAGGGGAAGCAACTGAGCTGGGCCAGACCTGAGGAAGACATTGTGGGACTCAGGATGGGAAGGCCAGGGGAGCCACCTCTGACTGCCCATGACTGGGGAGGGGATCCCTGGGGAGGCTGACCTGGGCTGGGTTGGGGGGGGGCGGAGACCAGAGTTGTAGGCACCATGCCTGACCTGGAGGACAGACTCTGGGCAGTTCTAGTTCCAGTTCCCTCAGGGGAACTAGAGGGAGTGACTCCAGAAGAGGGTCTCAGAGCTGAGAGAGCATGGGCTGCAGAAGAGGGGGCTGGTCAGGAAGGGCTGATGAGGGGGTTCACCCCAAAGGAAGGATGCGGGTTTGCCTGGGGAGCTGTGGGGCTGGACTGGGTGGCCTGAGGCCCCACTGAGGACCCCAGCCCCACAGTTGGGACTAACCCAGTAAGTCTCTTTATACATGTGAGCAGATGCATCCCCATGAGTCAGCCACCCTGAGCCAGAGCCTGAGGGGTCAGAGGAGTCTCACTAAGAGGCAAGGGAGGACCCTGCGGGTCCTGGAGTGACAGGGCAGCCTCCCAGAGGTGGGCTGTTCTCCTGGGAGAAATGGCCAGGGGTCCCTGAGGACACCCAGGATCAGAGACACAGTCGCATGACCTCTGGGGACAGCACGGTGGTGACACTGACCCTCAGTTTGAAAGAGATTCAAGGCGCACAGGCAAATAAACAAATGGGCCTGCTGCTTTGACCTGCTGCTAGACTCTGACACTGGCCGACAGGCGCAGAGTGGGGGGATGGTCTCACTGGGCCTGCGCCTTCCAGGAGGGCCCATTTGGGAAGGCAGGCCCAGAGGCCCCAGCACCTGATGGTGGCCCTCCTAGCCACGCACCCTTTGCTCTGAGTGGGCGCATCTGGGGGGCCACTTCGGGCTTGCACAGCACGTGGGCACTACTGCACAGACACCCTTGTCCTGCACAAAGGTGTCACTGCCCAGAGGAGACCCTGAGCCTCAGTGGTCCTGGGAGGTTTGGGGCCCAGTACCAGGAACCCTTCACAGGGCACCCAGAGCCGACCAGCAGAGCCTGTGTGCATCATTCATGGAGGTTGACAGACACCTACTATGTGCCGGGCCCCGCCTGAGGCTCAGGAAATTCAGAAGGGGACAAAGCACAGCTGGCCCGCTCAGAGCGCAAAGTCCCGGGGAGGGAGCTGTCTCGGGCTGGCCTGGGCGCTGGGGAACATTCCGCAGGGCCTGTCGCCTCCCCCCGAGATGCTCACCCGCCCCTCTCCCATCCTCACCACGCAGCCCCTGTACCAAGTCTCCCTGCCCCTCACCCACTCTCCCCATAGGACTAACTGCCATGGCGCAGACAATGGGGCTGAGTTGGTTAGTACGATGCCTGGGCACCTCCGGCCGTCTCGCCGGGAGGTAGGACAATGCACCTTTGGTACACAGGGCAGACTCTCAGCAGGCCCTTGGGCCGAGGTGGGGGACCCTCACACCCCCATTCTCCTCTCCCGTGCTCCGCCACACAGCCAACTCTTCCTGCTCCTTTGCACACTTGCAACTTTCTGCGTCACTTTTGCTGGTGTTTGCCTCTGGCTGGCTGTGCCTGCCCGTCCCTGGCACAGACCACGCAGCCCCTCTCCCCACCCCCAGTCCTGCCTCCCCATCTGCCTGGCACCAGAGATGGGGCTCGACCTCCTGGAAAGTGACTTAACCTGTTCTGGGGAGGAGGGGTCCACAGGTCCCTGAGCCGCTGCCATCCTGGGGTGAACACTTGTAATGGAGTGCGTGCTTCGCCTCCACCCATTCACACCTCTGGCAGCTCCTGGCGACACTGACTCATCCCCTGCCTCTTCCACTGCCTGCTGGGCGGCGTCAATTACT